CTTATATGCATGTATACTGTTTTTGTCGTATACGATTACCGGTTTGTTTTCTAAATGCATATAATATATACGCGTGATCGGTTTTTCGCTTCGGGGCTTGTTATATTTCTCCAATGACGCTGGATATATCGATGTCGTACGTGCATGTGCTTGTACCTGTACAACGAACACCTCAATTTTCTGACTCGCACGTGCCCAAATAAAACGTTTATATAGGACACGAACGTGTACCACCGTGTACATAAATATGTATGCCGATCGATTGAAACGTGTGAAATCGACAAGCCACGCTCTGCACTTAAAAATACGAAAATAAATACAGTTATACATACACCTGGTGGATAATGTTTGCACGTGTACAATATATATAAATCACGTTGTGCTTGTGATTATTCGGTTACGTACGCTTATTCAACTTAATCGATACACGAGGATTCGAGAGAGAGTGACCGCATATCGGAGTCGCAAAAATAATCAAATAAAAACCAATTGGTATATACGGCGCTTTTATGTGAATAAATACGCGTGCGCGCGTGCGTTCACCCATTACGGAATTGAAAAAGGAAAAGAAAGAAAGCAGCGACCACCGCAGCCTCGCGCACGCGTTACACGTACACCACAACTATGTGCATCACGAGCAAAAAACAAAAAAAAACAAAAAAAAAAAAAAAATCTCGCCATTGCAACAAGATTAATCCCGCGAAATAACCCAGCTGGGTTTTTACAATACCATACACATGGGGGGAGAGAGAGAGAGAGAGGGTCGAGAGTTTATAACAATAAATAATGTAACGAAGAGGAGAGAGAGGAAACAATCAGCCAGTCAAAGCGGGGAATAATACATATATACACCCGTGCGTGGCGCACGCGAGATCGGCCAACTGGTTGAGTTATNTCCTGGCGAACAAACAAACAAAAACAAAAAAAATGACGCTGATATAGTTGCACCCGCACGCGAGATTCTCAAAACGACGTAAATAAACGCGGGAAGCACGCGCAAAAGAAAAGAAAAATAAAACAACAACCCCCGCACACACACAGGTTCCACGAATCGCGACGCAAAGGCGCGCGCGATTATTCAAAAAAACGCCACCCCCCACCTTCGCGTGTACACGTTATGCATCCGTCAAAAAAAACTAGCGCGCGTCTCTCCCACACCCTCGCATTACACGCGCAGTTTCGCGTCGACGTAAAATTTTCGGGTGTATTATTTCGAGCGTCGGTCGGTCGGTAGGTACACTCTCTCTGTGTGTGTGTATTGGCAGCCGTTTCCTCTGGTACCGAAGTGTGTATGTACGTGCAGCAACATCACGCCCGTCTTATTCCTTTTACCGCTAACCATCCCGTGTGTTTCGAAAATAAACGCCCTCCCCCCCCCCCCGTATATATAAGATATATACGTACAAGCACCCCCGTTCGAGAGCCCCTCGCTCAAGGTATACACCCGTGCGCATTACGTGCGCCCTATGTGCCGTGTACGCAGGAATTATCGAGCTCGTTTTCGAGGAGGCAAAGGCTTACACTTGCTTCGGCGCTACGCGCTGTACACACCAAGGGGATTTTTAAAGCCGCAGCGAGGTATTTTGTCTCTCGGCCGGGGGAATCAATCTTACCCGTTGAGCGTCTAAATCCGCGCGCGTATATATATATACACCTGTATAAGGAGCTTGCACGTAAAAGCTGTCGGGGGAGTATATAGGTATGTTATACGCGGTGAAGGAATAACGGGCCGTTTTTCGGGGAAAATCGAGAATACGCGCAGCTGTATGCACGCGCTGTTGGAAAATTCATAGGACCGAATGATTTATTGATGATCGGCCTCTCGCTGGGTGTACACTTACCGTGGTTGTTGTTTCGGCTTTCCGACCGAGTTTATTGTTTTTCTATATACATGGCGATTTTCTCCGATTTTCCTCTTATATGCATGTATACTGTTTTTGTCGTATACGATTACCGGTTTGTTTTCTAAATGCATATAATATATACGCGTGATCGGTTTTTCGCTTCGGGGCTTGTTATATTTCTCCAATGACGCTGGATATATCGATGTCGTACGTGCATGTGCTTGTACCTGTACAACGAACACCTCAATTTTCTGACTCGCACGTGCCCAAATAAAACGTTTATATAGGACACGAACGTGTACCACCGTGTACATAAATATGTATGCCGATCGATTGAAACGTGTGAAATCGACAAGCCACGCTCTGCACTTAAAAATACGAAAATAAATACAGTTATACATACACCTGGTGGATAATGTTTGCACGTGTACAATATATATAAATCACGTTGTGCTTGTGATTATTCGGTTACGTACGCTTATTCAACTTAATCGATACACGAGGATTCGAGAGAGAGTGACCGCATATCGGAGTCGCAAAAATAATCAAATAAAAACCAATTGGTATATACGGCGCTTTTATGTGAATAAATACGCGTGCGCGCGTGCGTTCACCCATTACGGAAGCTTCCAACGTACTCGTGTAAACAAGATCAAGGAATCAGGCATACCATTAAGACCCACGCCGCTGGCACTATGTGTCTTGCGAGCAAAAAACAAAAAAAAACAAAAAAAAAAAAAAAAAACCCAAATCGATCCCGTAAGCCGGTACATGTATAGGCACAGTGAAAAAGGAAGAAAGATCCGAGCCTCCAGCATCGATCCACCACCGCGGGGAGTCTCTGACGAGCAACGGAGAGAGACCTCCTTAAAAGATCTCCGCTGGTCTCGAATTCTTTTCCGCGATGAGGAGAGAGGAGAGAGAGAGAGAGAGACCGGAGATCTATTTCGTTTTAAATAATTTTAACACTGTGTGCTCAACGTATTAAGTATATGGATGGGAAAAAAAAAAAAAAACCACCGGTGTACAGCCGTCGCGTCGTTGTCATATGTATAATATATATAAGGTACCTACGTATATTAGAGCGCGCGTCATGCTGGGATCGGCAAGATTTTTCGAAAAGAGATACGTCTACCTATACCAAACAACTATATGTACACACAATATACCCATACTATACTTGACCGACAATGCAACAGGTGGTCGTACCTCGTATATAGGTACTACACGCACGACGAACCGAAAAGGTGTATAACGCACTGGCTCGTCGCCCGGCCGAAGCGAAACAGCTTTGCTTTCGTGACAAATCAGCCGGAATGATTAATCGGTGATTTTTTTTTTTTTTTTTCTATTTCGCGGGGCTTCTCCTCTCGTCGTTAATCACCTGGAAATCGTCTTCTCGAGCACGCGTGCAACCGATCCCTCTCTCTCCACTTACCATTATCCGATCTTCGAGTTACTGCAGTATAAACCACTCTCCTACACACGCTAGCCGGAAAATTCGATTTTCTACCGGCCAGTATATATATGTATATATGTACGTCGTATGGAGCTCTTTTCGCAACTCCCCGCGCTACCACCGGCACCGGAGATTTATAGGATATGGGTTTTTTTTCCCCTTTTCCGAGAGCGCCACGCCGGTCCAACCGTTCGATCGCGAGATTTCTTTCCCGTGGATGCATGGATGTATATATGTTCTTAGGGCTACTGATAAATATGTTTACGCGTTTCCGGGAACGAGCAGGGAGAGACTGTGCACTTGCAAGTAATGGGGTTTGATGTCGCGAACGGGCCTTTTATGTGTGCGCCGTGATATCTCGCAACGCGAATGGGGAGACTCAATTTTAGTGGAAAAGGTTTTTTCGTTCGACTCGGTATTTTGTTTTTTATTAAAAAGATTCCAAGAAAACAGGGATGTAATAGTGTATGTAATAATAATACATACTTATTAGTTTGTACAACGAGTAAGGACATATTATGCAACTCAACAATTTTTGACTTTGCTCAGTGATAATATTTTTTTCGCCTTTGACGTGATAAGGGCTGTCAATGTGCAGTCGAAACGTTATCAACACTAAATGAAAAAAAAAGTAAAAAATTTTGAACAGAGCATTGCCCTTCGGTTTAATATTGTTTTCTTATGTATTTTTTTGTTATTTCATACGTTAAGGTTTATTGGGTGTGCAATTTCGATAATTACGTTAGCGTGAAATATAGGTAGGAAAAAATCAGTTGATGTTACAATAAGATTGATTTTTACTGGTATTGATTCGGTGTTTATTGTTGTGCAACTTACCGAATCAATATAATATACATGCATATATAACAAGTTGATCTCACGATAAAGTTTATTCGAGTAATCGCAAAAACAAGATGAGAATTAAAAGTGTGTTCTATTACACACAGTTATACCTATATATGTACGTATCATAATTAAAAATATGTCTCTTTCGATGTAAAGAGGTAAGTGTATTATGCGTTTATTTCACTGGCACCGCGTTGGAAGAAAAGGGGTGGGGGATGTGTGTATAAGATACGAATCCAACGTATACAAAATACGAATAAAGTTTTATTCAAATTTTGTTTGATAAATTTATCAAACCCTTGGTGATAAATCTGGATGAAGTTACAATCCTTCTTCTGCCGACTGTATTTTTGCAGTCCCGAAACAGGTATACAAGGTAAACAAAAAAAATAATTCATAACGAAACACCACGATGGAGCTACCAAATGACATTTTTGGAAAGAAAAAAAAAAAAGGAAAAATCGACTGATTTCGTCTACTCGAGGAAAATTCGTTAGTCTCAAAAGTATGATCGCGTGCACCACTTTTGGACCCGGATATGAGTGTTTTATAATCACCAACAACGAGTCTTTATACGTATACTTGACAGCTCCACGTATACTCAAGATATCCGACGATTCGCATCGTAAACACTACCGCTGGAATCAAGTTATCATTCGCGTATACAAAGTATATTTCATCACGTGAAAAAAAAAAAAAAAAAAAGACGCGCCAGTCACTATATTTGTATTTGCCAGATGATTAAGCTCCACCTCTTCGTCGGCCCAAGGTTATCGCTCTTTCGCGTCGCACATAAAATAATATGTGTACCAATTGGTTGAGATCGCGTTTAGTCGAACCGATGCAGCCACTGGAGCATCTGAAATTTCAACTGTTTCGCAAACACCTGTACGTTCCGAGAAAAATTTTCCGCTTACCCTCAGCCCCCAGTTTCGATGAACTCGTCTCGGAAAATATATTGTATCTATCAATGAAAGCTCGAAAAAAAAAAAATTTTTATACTACTTCCCCCCGTTCGTTAAATCGACCCGAACAATCTCCGCTATAAATCTTAACGCATAGTAAATAACACTCGAGCCAGTGGCATTAATAACAAAAATGTAAACAAGTGCCTCTTGACGATTCAACAGATCGAACGCACCGAACTCGAGCAGCCCCGCAAGTAAAAGCCATATCGGAAGATCATCACCATCGGCATCGGCAGTGAATAAGAGGTCGTCGACGACAACAGCACCGGCAACCATGTTGAGGAGTGCTGCGGTGCGGCTGGTGGTGCAGGAGCCGGACAAGGAGCTGCTCAAGCCGATCCAGCTGCCGCAGAGGATATTAACGGGCGCGGGACCGAGCAATTGTTCTCAGCGGGTGCTGCGGGCGCTTCACCAGCAACTTCTGGGTCACATGCATCCCGAGATCTTTCAGGTATATGTTACAATCTATACACCACACATACACAAAAGCAGTAGCATGCCTGTGCAACAATGCTCGGCGACGCTGTCGCGCTTATATTTTCCCTCCTCCTCGTTCCTTTTTTTTTTTTTTTTTTTTTTTTCTCCATCTCTTTGACCGTATCCTTGTCCCGTGTGCATACCGATTTCCTTTTCCCATCAGCCAGACATGCACACGCATACGGTATATATTATACCCCCCACTGCACGTGTATCTCACGCGTTCTTTCATTCTCTCCGAGAAGTCGCGCTTGACCTATACCTATATGCTACCTATGTATTTTCCGAATTCCTCATCTTTCTCTCTTCTTCTTTTCTCTTCTAAAAATGTACGAGTCCCGATCACTGAAAATCGGAAGTTGTTTGTTACCGATCGATGTATGTCCAAAATCGGTGCGCCGCGAGTTTCACACATATTATATTAATACCGAACCCATATTGATCACCGATTTTTGAAGAACTTGTTTCCGGCTCCATGACTAAAGGACATCCGCCTTCATTTATCACCGTATTTATAACATGTGTATGCGTCCATCGGCGTCTATATAATGATGGGGTCTCTTAACGGAACCGCGTTACATATAACAAGAGGTGCGACAAATAATGTATTTTTTCTCTTCCCTCGGCCCCTAATGCTCTAATATACCACCGCCAGTACAACGAGCCCTTCCGAGAAAAATTAAGATGGTAATCGTACAGTCACGCAGTTTAGCACATCAGAGTCAAGGGAAAAGGAAGTACCTCCTATATAATGTACACAAAATCGGCATAAATACCAAGTGTCTCTCTCTCTCTCTCTAATAATAACATGCAGGTGTATGACGATTTTACAGCTGATGGACGAAATAAAGGCCGGTCTGCGTTACGCCTTCCAGACGTCGAACGCGCTGACTCTGGCCATAAGCGCTTCCGGTCACGCCGGCACCGAGGCGGCCATTGGCAACGTGCTCGAGCGCGGGGAAAGGATTCTCATTGTCAAGGCTGGACTGTGGGGCGAACGTGCGGCGGATATGGCCGATCGGCTCGGCATTCACGTGCGTATATATAATACATTGTTTGCCCATCTAACGACACATGACATATACACCTATCTTTACCTGCAGTGCACGGAGTAAAACAATACCTCTTGTTTTGATGACTTTTACGCGCACATTTAAATGCACAGACGCGCGTGTACAATATAATATACGACTCTCCGTCGTTGTGCAAGCGAACATTGATTTTATTCTTCACTCCCGAGTTGTAAAATTGTATTAGCCTTCAAGACCAAATTATTAATTTTTAATAAATGGTCAGAGGATGTTTTTCCATTTGTTCCCATTTTACATCGTTATGATATTATGTAGCTTGAAAAAAAAACCACTTGCACCCATGCTATTTTTGTTTCCCCCGCGTCAAAAGAGAAGAATTATTGTTTTAAAAAGCTTGTTACGCGCTTCATTGACTATTTTGTCCACAGGTCGACTTTTTAGAACCCAAGTTGGGCGTCGCCTTCACGCTTGCGGAGCTCGAGGAAGCCATGAAACGCCACAAGCCCAATGCCGTCTTCGTGACGCACGCCGAGTCCTCTACCGGTCTCAAGCAGCCCTTGGAGGAGATCGGCAGCTTGGTCCACAGGTAAGCCAATTATTTCTCGCCAAAGTGGCACAAAACTGAAAAAAAAAGAAAAGAAAAAAAAGGAGGGGACTGATTGTAATTTGTTTTTTTTTTTTTTTTTTTTATTTCGACGCTCACCAACAGGTACGGTGGCCTGCTGATCGTGGACACGGTAGCGTCCCTCGGCGCGGAGCCGTTTTTTGCCGACGCCTGGGGTGTCGACGTCGTCTACACCGGCAGCCAAAAGGTCCTCGGCGCACCTCCCGGCCTCGCTCCCATAAGCTTCAGTCCATTGGCCCAGTAAGTATAACATATACAAGTACTATCGCGCACTTCCGTCGGGAACTGCTGAGGTATGAATATAATAGGCAGTGCGCATAATACAACGCGTGTATACTTTTGACGCTATGCGCAGTCAAACGGCTTTGAATGCAAATGGCCTTTCCGCTGCTTTGGCCGTGGTAATTGAATTTTAGATTTCGGACGAGACAAAAACGTCGTCGAGCACACAAACCGAAACGTGATGATTACCTTTTAAAGTGCAAGGAGAGTGTAAAAAACTAACTAAAGGTGATTAGCCTACGGAAAATAGTTGCGTGAACATTGGAAATTAAAGTTCCATGCGCGGAGTTTTACGCAGAGTTGCGGCAAAAAAAGTGTCGTTTTGTCGAAACGTTTCTCATGCGCCACTGAACGCGAACCTTGCGTGCAAAAGGTGCATTATTAATCCATCGTCAATTGAACATTGAAACCGTCAGTCAAAAGGACAAGTGGGTACTACTACGAACGGCGAAGACGAGGGTTCTTTGAAACTTTATTGCATGGAGTACAAGGTGTATTTCGAGTATACGTACCCATGTAGAGGGAAAAAGTCGGGGATAAAGAGAAACTCGGGCAGACGAGCTGCAGGGGCGAAACGTCTTCATGCAAATTTTCAATTACAAAGGCCCGCTGCTCTCGGGAACGGCATACACGTGTACATACTAGGTTGTACTTCTTGTGCATAATATAGACATAGGGGCGTCCCTCCTCGTTGTCGTGCGGAATATCAATTCGGGGACACGTCATGTATATCGCGCGGAAAGTCTTTTGCCGGCATCAGGAGTTTAACTCCCTACTTAACTACTCACTTATATACAACGATCCGTATATACGTGCGGCAGAGCGCACGTGACTCATGAGTATATATATACATACCCAAGTCACGCCGATTTACTTGCAACCAAGTGTACGTACGTATACACACTTACTCGCTTCTTGTTCTCCCTCTTCCTTTATTTAGACTCGGCGAATGTTGGCGATGGTGTGCGCATACTTGTTGTGGGTTGGGTACGGTATGTGGTGGCCTTTAGCGTATATACCCATGACGATTTCACCGCGCCAACTATGCCGATCGGTATGCGCGACCCGCCGATTTTCATATAATACGTGCATGCGAGAATACACACAATGCAGGCTGACGTGTCTCGTTTTTACTAAACAATGGGCAGATCGAGCCATCCAATTGCTGCCATGGAATAATTTCCGAAATTTTCCAGGAAAAAGATTTTGAGCCGCAAGTCAGCGGTGCCGGTGTATTACTGGGACATGACGCTGTTGGGCCGCTACTGGAACTGCTTCGGGGCCAACAACGGGCCACGGCTGTACCATCACACGATCTGCCCGACTCTGGTATACGGTCTGCGCGAGGCCCTGGCCCAACTCGCCGAGGAGGGACTACCGGCTTCCTGGGCTCGCCACGCGGCCGTCACCGACAAGTTCCACGAGGGCCTGCGTAAACGCGGTTACGGCTTCTTCATCGACGACCCGCAGCACAGGTTGCGCACGATTAGCTCGATACTCCTGCCGAGCGGAGTTGACGCCTCGATCGTCATTCGGTACGCCATGGAGAGGTACGCTATTTTTTTTTTTTTTTTTTTTTCCCCAAGCATATTTTATACAAGTTGTTTGTTTTCACTGCGCGTATATTTGCTTGTATATGTTTTGCGAGCGTTGTACAATGCTTTTTCTTTCTTACGCTCTTTCATTTGCAATTGTAAATAGAAGTCCGAGTTTTGTCGCGCGGGGACTATATTTTTGCGCGCTCAAGTATACGTTAGCCTGTGGCAGACGCTCAATACTTTTGCGGTGAAACTTTACGTGTTGCAAATATTAATGTAATACGGCTTTTGAAATTGACTTTCATTAGCTTTACTTTCTTGTTTTGATGACTGATTGAAAAAGTACATTGACGTATGAGGTGTCCAAATAAGTACCAATGAAAAAACTATTCACTCCTTTCAGATACAACGTAGAAATAAGTGGTGGATTGGGACCAACGGCTGGGAAAATCGTCCGCATCGGTTTGATGGGAGTAAACGCCACGCCCGGACACGTGGACTTGGTTCTCCGTGCACTTGATGATGGAATAAGATACGCCAGAGCTCAAATTAAATCAAATTTATAACTCTCGAACTGTAGTTCCTCAATTTATTTTTGGTTCCATAAACTAGCTCGCCTAATGAACTTAACGAATACGCTTTAAATATAAAATTTAATTATTTACGATTTACCTATGATGGTTTTATTAGTCAGAATAATGAATTTTACAGATATTACGCTAGTGAGTAAGTTACTCAAAGTCAAATCTACTACTTGATATTAGTTAGTATTACCAACTATTTTTAGATTGTTAATTTATTTAATATTACCTTTATCTTATTAAGTCAGAGAAAGTATTTTCTCACATACGAAAAATTGATAAACCACAATAAATTATTTTCACGTAATTATTAATTATACCAATAGGCGTTCCCATGTATTTGTCATGCCTAATTATCTACAAAAATAAAGCTAATTTATACACAATATTAATTATAGTTCTTATATTTACGCTACGATCCTAGCCAAATTTTCTTTCATACACACCAAACTGCATAGCGGTATTCCAGTTTTTGCACAGCAATATCGTTTTAGATTAGAACATGTTGGATTACCACATAAAACAGGTTTTGGTGGATCCTTACTGAAAACACAATTTTCTAATGAATTACGAAACTGTCAACGAAATGAATAATATTTTGGGAATCTTACGCTTTTGCGGCTTGAAGTGGAAATCGTTCTCCAATTGGCAGAGATATTGTACTACCTTCCAAAGTTATCTTATACATTATGAGTGGAACCTGACGTTTACTTGAAGTTTTGCTCTTTGTTACGATTTTTGAAGATTTCGTTTCTTGTTTTTTTAGCAGCCTCTCCATAGTTTTTTTCTGCAAATTATTCATGTATTACGAATCAACTGTGCAGTTACACAATAAATGAGGAAGGCTAAAACAGATGTGATTTTTTTTACCTTATCTTTTTCCCTTTTTTCGTCAGCAAGTTGCTTACGTTTCAATGACTTTAAAGCAGCTTTCTGAATGGCTTCTGCAGTCATGACTTTTTCTTTGTAACCAGTAGGCAAAGACATCAGCTGTTGTTCCATACCAGCATTGGGCTCCGTGTCTGACTTGCGTTCAAACATTGCCCTCTGTCTAGCAGTCATCAACTTGGGATCCTTGGGCTTGATCTTTTTAAGTTCATCATCAACCTGAGAATTTTGTTTTTCATTAATAATAACGAAAATACGTGACGAATTTCATATATTTTAATCTAATCTTACTTCTTCCAATTTGCCGGATTCAATAGCATCAAGCCACCTTTCCTCCTCACTGCTTGTACCACTGTCTTTGCCTTTATTTGTTTTAATCACTTTTTTCTTAATCGATGCTTTTGGTGAAAGACTGTTACTCGTACTTGGCAAAGTTGGATTGGCAATTTTGAAAACTTTCTCTTTTGTTTTGTCCAAGCTGCAAAATAATTGTATTTTAGAAAAACAATTGGCAGCAAATAATTATTTATTTCCTGAAACAACTAAACCTTCTGTCTTCTTCTTTTTTCAATCGAACTTTGAAAGTCTTTCTTAGGTCTGTATCACCCGAAATATCAATGTAACTTTCTTCATCGTGGGTTGATTTCTTCCTCTTGTGCTTTTTATGCTTGTGCTTCTTATGCCTCTTTTGAGGTATTGAACTGACAAAGTTATCAACTGTTGGGGTAGAAATGGAATATTTTAATCGGAAAATAAGATTGGAGAACGTTTTTTTTTCAAAATCCAAGAATATTTACCTATATTGATTTCCTCTTCTGAGCTAACTTCTTTGGTTTTACCCATTTTTTACTGAAATCAAACAATTCTTTGCGTTCCTCTCAAGAGAACGTGAGTACGAGTTGAGTTAACCTAGTTTCGAGACTTTATCGTTTTTACGCAGCTACGTGCTTTGTTAAACGATTAAATAATGATCACCAATTATTTTTTATTTTATTACGAACGTTTTCGTATTTTATGATCACTGTTTATCGCATTGGCATGAATCATAACCTCAAAACTTCAGCCGTATTGACTCATTTGACTGATTGATGGACCCTTCGAATTCGAACTAGCCGATTGACTGACGGACGCGGGACGACGGACTTGAAAATCTGCCGAATGAGTACTTATTTTTTTATGCAATAATTCAGTTTTTGTTTTAAAAAAAATTAGGTTTTCTTATGATATTAATGTAAAGCAAAGAAGCAGTCAAGCTACAAATTATTAGTCCAAGTAGTCATTTTTTAGTGATACAATTTCATTTTATTTCATGACTGCACCTTATTTATTGAATTGAATTTACTCAAAACTCAAATACATAATCATATAACTTTCACAGTTGAGGATGAGCGTTATGTCACAAAATTTCTAATTGCAAACAATTTTCGATACATACATCTCGTTCGTTGATACACATTGCGTAATCGACTATTTTAATTGAATAATCTAAGTTTGAAAATTCATTGCACTTTACAATTGAACTGTTCAAGTTTAATAATAACAGTTTGAATTAAAACTGTATGTTCCTATTTTATATAATTATTATTATATACATCATTTTGGAATTATAATGACACCTAAGAATCATTCAAACCAGTCTGTCTTTTTTAAAAATTGATAAACATATAAAGTATACCGTTATATTGAAATTGTTAATCATATACCAAAATGTAGTGAAATGAAGTTTATTAAAAACTTATGTTACCTTTAATAAAACATTATTAAAAGATTTTACGTGAGTTATTTGAATTTAGCAAAATGCACATTATATTTGATTAATTAATAAGTAAAAATTACGACATTGAAAGTGTAAGTAATTAAAAATTAAAATACACCAATCGGCTTAATGTCGATCAAACGTCGGCACTTGTGTCTCAAATCAATAAAGAACTTGAATGTATTATTTATTTAATATAATTTGTAATACTATTTGTCAATGATTTATTATAAAGAAATCAATTACAAATGTAAATAAGTCATACTTTCAACAGACAAGTTTCAGTCAATACCGTATTTACAAAACAAAAGCTTGAGCTTTGCTTACACTTATTAATACTACTTAGATACTACAAAATTACAGGTATGGTTTTATTCGTTTTTCATTATATCTGTAGCCCAGAAAAATTGATCAAATAATAGTAATAATTCCATTAAAATGGCATCTGTATTTCATTTTTAGACTATGTTTTTAAAGTTTGGCACGTAAAATTAGTTGACAGTCATAGTTTATACAGAAATTGATACAAAAGATTTTTTACTTAATTAATGTACTTTATGGGGATTTAACCCATTTTCTAAGCTCGGCACAAACACAAGATACAAATCAAGACTTAAGCCCATGGCCGCTAGATCTCAAGTCTGTCACTCTGCCGTCCGACCTACGTGGACGGATTATAAAGTTGATTGGAATAATTACTAGATTGTCATTCTTAAACATACTTTGATAAACATTATGATTCGAACTTGAATAAATATTTTTTGTACAGAAGATTATTCATTGTTTAAGTTTCGTACTCTATTCGTAGTTGATTCGATAGTTTATACTTCTCGTAATCTATAGATATTTAACTAAAAATAAATAAAGGTCTAAAATAAAATATTATGATTTTATTTTCTCAACTAAGGCGTTTCCTTTAACTTTGGTCGTTCATTTACCGCGTTCGTGTTAGGGAAAATATCGTTTAAAACTCGTGCACATTTAACAACCAGGACCCTCACATACATGCTTCAATTAGCCCAATAAAGATTTCACACTAATTACGTAGAATTTTTCGAGTCATTACCTATTTGACGATTATGAATCAGCGATTGCTGATTTAAAAAAAAAACATTTTCCATCGAGGTATTCAACAAATTGTTGTGAAAGTCGTTTAAAGTACCGATGTTAATAAACTATAATGTAAAAAGTTGTTTATAAGAATAAGAGTTCAAAGCATTGGATCTAAAAGCTTAGATAGAACCAAGTAAAAAATTTATACTCGTGAAAAACTTAATAAATTGTCAGTTCTTCTCTGAAGACATTATCATGTGAGCTATTTAATGTTTGCTCGAGCCTTAAGAAAGTGCCTCACGTCACGAATAACTGGGTAAGTGGGCATCAGGGTGGGTCAGTTTGTGTTTTGCTTGTTGGTACGAAGTCGATTGAGACCAGAGCGCTCACCCTCCTCCTCGTCAGATGTACAGGTCGGTGCCCCACTTACTGCACCCTTTGATGAAGTAGCCTGCATTAGCTCTGGATTAGGTCCATTTCGATTTTCATAGAGTAAAATGTTCAAGGTTTCCTCGTAAATGCGCGCTTCTGGAAATTCAACCTGTAAAAAGGTCATTCAGCATAAAATTTGCCTAAAGTAACAATTGAGTATCAATTCAATGTTAGATTAAAACTGTTGTTTAGTTCAAAGAAGATCTATTTACATAAAGTTACATCTACGATATGAAATTGTAAGTACCAAAGCAAAAAAACCTTTTGAGCTTACCTTTGTGTGTTTTTTATCAGTTGTGTACACTATAGAATGACAGCAAACCTCAGCCACTTTACGCCCATGTCCATAAAATGTCCAGCAACAAATTTCACTAGAGCCTATAACATCTTTAATAAATAGAACTCTACCACTAAATCTAAGAGACATTTTGTCAAAGAGTTCGATGTTTTTCAAAAGATTGTCGTCAGATGTACTGAAAAATAATTAAAAAATGTTATAATTACGTGTTACAATAACGTATTTGTACAATTTTAAAGTAATGCAGAGTTAATCTTACGTTGTGTATGAATATTTATTATTATGTCTGTTAACAAGTAATTTGACCACAGGCTTTGTAGTACTGCTTATAAGCAACTGTTCCTCACTTTGAGAGGTTATAAGTGGCACCCTGCATATGGGATCAGTTTCTTTTTCTTTCCTCTTGAGTGCCTGTTCACAGGATTCAGCCAGTTCACTGATACAATAATACTTGGCTTCAGCAAGGAGCTCCACTATTTCTTTGGCACTTTCTGGCAAAGGGACTGTGCCATCCCTCAAGAAATTCAATATAGTCCCAAAATGTTTACCACAGCGATCAATTAGTATCCATCCTGAAACAGTAACCATTCAGCATTGGATTAATGCTAGTACTTCATTTGATGTAAACACCGCTTACAAATACTTGTATAATCAGTTCCTTACCTTCAGAGTCTGTGAGCACCTCCATCCTACCACTGAACATGGCACGTAGCATTGTATCATGCTTCCTGAGGGTGCTAATGGTAGTGTAATGCAAGGAACCACCAATATTGAGTTTAACGTACTCGGAGGGACACTTGTTCCCAGCCTGATTGCCAGACATGATGAGCGACTTGACAGGCAACTCAACTGGTTCAATGATGCAAGCCGAGGCTGCAGCTGCAGCTGCTGGCGACGACGAGTTAGCTTTGTCGAGCTCGAAATCCAACATTTAATCCATTTACGAGAGATAACAGTAAATATACGAAACGATGCGATCACGAAGAGGACGAGGAGGGTTTTTATGAAAAGATGGTCAGCCACTTTGTGGGAGAGACTACAGTCGTTGCACTTTTGGTTTCGTTGTTGCAGCTCAGGTCACCTGGATCACTCCCATTTTTTTTACTCCTGGCACTTGGTTTCTATTCCTCTACTTCAAAAACACTACTTGATGTTTAACTCCCGCGAAGTGAATTGGCTAAGGAAAAAAGTTAACGTAAGAAGGTAGATAGAACTTATAACACCTCAAATGTCACGGAACACACTTTCATGCCTCGTATATATCATTATTCTAGTTACAAATAATTGTTTGAGCATTCGGTTGTTCTCTTTTTATGCTCGTCGTATTAAGTACACACAAAAAAAGTTGGTTACTATAAACACCCTAATAAATAAGAATTACTTAAGTAGGGGTTATCATAACCAGAGGGGAGCTCTTGTTTATGGCTTACAAGAGTTACAAGACATACAAGATTAAATATCCATCAGAGATATCAAGCTCCCCCGCTGCCCCCTTCCCCCTTCCCAGTAGGCAACGAGAGAGAGGGCACGACCGCTCGCGAATGCTGATGGCGCGCAATAATTTGAAATAAAGTGTAGCATAAGTATAGTTATCATGCAATAATGCCATATAGTTTTATCTTTCGGGTAAAGAGTGCACGGTGTAAGATACATACGTAAAGTTATGTGTAGTAATCACTACTTAATTATAGTAATAACTACTAAGTATAGTGAATTTTATTAAACCAAGTAAGTAGAATGTCTATACTTTTGGAGGTCGATTTTCGGGTAAAAACAAACTGTAATCTTGCCGCAAACAACACAAACAATGTTAACTTTATGTTTTATATCTGTTTAATTAGTTGCGGCTGGCTTATATGTGATTACATGGCTCTACTGTAAATAGTAATAATTATTCGGATCAGCGCCATCTAGCAGTCTTCATTTTTTCGCCTTTCGCCAAAAGTGACTCCTAAAATTCTTAATCAGAGCATTCAGGATTAGAGCCCTAAATCAATTATAAACCAGCCGCAACTAATGGAAAAGAAATAAAAAGAAAATTAATTGTTGTCTGTGCTATTTGCCGTGCGGCAAGTGCTCAATTCGTCTTTTACCCAAAAATCGATCTCCAAAAGTATAGACATTCTGCTTAAATGGTTTAATAAAATGATAAAATCGACTATATATGGCACAACTTAGTAGTGATTACTACATTATACTACACGTATATTTTACACAGTGCTTTCTTTACCAGAATGACAAAATCCAAAGTAAATATATGTATAAATAATGTTTATATATATATATATATATATATCTTTCCCACGTAACGATGTAACAATTTATAAGCTGTATACTTGAGTAAATAAAATGCCTGCTTTGCAACTTAAGTGCGCGCTTTCGTGCACTCGTACGTGTTTTTGTGCATTCATACTTTTTGTTGTGCGTGCTTATTAAGTATGCGTTTTTATAGAGATGTCGGTATTTTCTCACGCGCGTGTGCGCTTTTATTTTCCATCCCCCTGTCGACGCTTCTGTTTTGAAATAAAGAAAAGCTTAGCAACGGGTGATGTACAACATTGCATCTACAAGCAAATGTTGCATCCTCGCAAGTTGCGGTGGGTATGGCAGATTCTTTGAAGAATTACGGTCTTTTTCTCGACGATGTGTCCAAGATCCGCGTACTCGAGCCCGAGGTCGCCACGCAGACCGAAAAATTGCGCGACGAGTGCCAGAATTTCGTGACAAGTGAGTAAAAAATTGCGCTCTTGTTATACTTGCGTGTACGTAAGTACTCGATTGTACTAAATGAAGATCGATATTTCGTTACCTACTTTTTACATGAATCAGAGGATCACTGAGATGATTTTTTTTTTTGTTTTGTTATGTAGAGATCGGCGATTTTCACAAAGTAGCCGAGGATTTCATCAGGGTAATGAGTAATTTGGCGGATTCGGTCGAGAGGGAAAAAATGCGGACTATAGGTATTCGCAATCTACTGCACTCCGTTACAAAAGAACACGAAGCGGAAAAACAACAGCTGGAGGTAAAGACAGCCAATAGTAACAATAATTTAAAAATGGTAAGGGAACGAAAATTAAAACGCGTTGATTTTGTCTTTAGGCGCTTGTACTTGAGAAATCAATGGAACTGGAAAGATTACGAGTCGAGTATGAATCGCTGAAGAAAATTGAAATGGAGCAACTGGAAATGATTGAACATCTAACGTCTAATTGAATTATTACATTTATGCGTAACTTTTTTATGATTAGCTTTTGTCGGGAAAGATCATTTTTATGTGTTATACACAAAAGTTGTTAATGTGGTGACTGGCTGGAAATAACTTTATAATAAATAAAAAATCAAAATAGATCACACATGTAGTTTAAATAAAAGCGTTCATTCAGGCACACAACGGTAAGATTAACTTTTATTTGTTTCATTGGTATGTATTTAAAAGCTTTTTCAACAACAAAATCCGAAAATTAATGTTTTAAAAAATGATAATGAGAAATATCCAAAGAAATAAGACGCATTAGTAGAATACTTTTTATTTTCGCACAAAATTTACAAAAACCTTATAGAGACGTCTGTGGTATCAGAATTCAAAATAAAAAAAAATGTATAACTACAATATTTTGCTTTCCTTATTGATCATACATATAATACTAAAAAAAAAAAAAATTCGTTTAGTACGATTATTTGTTCTATTCTAAGATAAAAACGTTTTAGATCCTAAATGTAAAGCACATCTGAACTTGTCATTTTGAATGAAATTTTTCCAGATTTATCTTTAAACTCCTCTTCTTATAATTTCAGTCAAAAATTAAAATAAACAGTGAAACATGTTCTTCATTCTAATAAGAAATAAAATGGTAACATGTTTGATAAATAAATCAGTATAGAAGCAAAAAACTTTGTCTTTACAGCGAAGTGTCTGCCAAAATTTTGATTTTTAATTTTGCCAGGTCTTGAAATTTGGTTCTGCCTCAATTACTTTTGGTAATAAAAATTTTTCAGCTTTTTCATAACGTAACAAGATACTTTTTTTTTTTTTCTATTGGCGAGGCGTTCATTTTCCGCTTTTTATGCAGCAAAACAACAAAATATAGATTGCTTTTCATATTGCAAAAACTTTTTACACAGTTTTCAATATCGATCGTTGTTTGGTTCTTAATAATATAGAGATGTGTTACAACAACGTGACCAGGAGTTCAAAAATAAACTTTATTTCATACAATAAAAATAATAAATGGTCTTATTTTTTTCCAAATTACAAGTACAAAGTCTACAAGCTAATTTTATAAATATTTACATGTTTATACCTAAAATAGCGATACTTGAAGGTAAAAAATTAATTTTTGAAAGAAATCGATTTTTCTTTATAATTTTAATGACAAAATAATTAAATAATTATAGTACCATGAGGATGCAAACGTAAATTTACATTTCAGTAACAGTACGGTTTATGTGATTTTCAGTAAAATTGTATCTTGATATTTGTGGAGCAAACGAGATATATTGTAAGTTTCGATTCAAAAATTAAAAACTATACTCATAAGAGTATGAAATAATTTTTAACACTCACTTGCCTTATTTGTAGTTTTATCTTAAGTTGAATTTTTTTTTATATGCTAACAGATGATTAGAAAGCCAAAAATACTTAAATATACTACATTTTGACAATTCAATGTAAATTACATGTAGTGAACAATAAATCGAGACAAACGAATTTAAATTAAATTATTTTACAAAAATATATTCTCATATGCTCCAAAATTCCATCACCATTATTCAACGCTGATACATTTTTTTACATATAAAACTATAATAACGGACAATAATCGCTATGAACGTAAAGTAAAATCCACAGCTTTACAAGTTTTACAAAAATTCACATTCAATGCAACAGCTTTCATCAAATTTTTCAGCACTCATTCATTTTCATACGCTTATTATTATCCACCGCATTGTTTTCGACAGTATCTCCATCTCCGTTGTTTTCTGTGCAAGGCGATGCTGGCCTCTTCTTATTTTCTAGCACGGCATCTTCTGTGGAGCTTGCCTCTTTCTCTAATTGCAACGATTTAAATTTTACGATTATCGCGGTCATATTATCGCATCCTGTACCATCTCCAAGAGTGTTAGGAGCTAGGCAATTATCAAAGAGCTGGAAGAAGGGTAAGCTTATAAGTACTTTGTTAAAGTGTGTGAAAAAAAAAGATAAAATAAAAAAAATATTAATTTAACAAACCTCTTCGCATATTTTTGAAAGAGTCTTGTCTGGCTGGTTTATACGCTCACGTACAAAAGTAATGACTTTCTGACTTGACATAGAGTTCCATATACCATCGCACGCTAATACCATGAATTCATCCTTTTCGCGATCTATTGTAACAGTCTGAATGTCAGGCAATGCTGATATCATTTGTTCTTGTGCAGGTAGATCTTTGCTCTTTTTGTAAGCATGGTCACCGAGTGCTCTGGATAGATTAAGTCCACCATTAACTCGGCCGTCACTTGTCACTTTACCACCAGCCTTGACAATGCGATCCATCTCGATTTGGTCTTCAGGTTTGTGGTCAAAACTCAGTTCAACAGCTTCCCCATTTCTGCAGAGAACACATCGAGAGTCACCTGCATTAGCTACATACAATTCGTTACCTTTAAGAACAGCTACTACAGCTGTACACCCGCTGTCAGCTCCAGGCTGTAAAATAATTTCTCTGATTAGTGACACTAAAAAGGAATAAAATATAGATTTACTGGCATTTTAATACAAACTTCATCATTAGGTTCCCTAATATCCACTTCATCATCCTCATCCTCGTCGTCATCTTCTTCCTCGTCAGCTGGTATATCTTGTACATCTTCATCATCAGCGAGTTCATCGTTTTCGTCATTTTCACTTTCTGCCGAATCATCTTCACCATCAGGATCGTCTTCTTCGTCATCATAGCTGAAAAAAAAGAACGGTTAAGTTAAATGGCTTAGTTATTAACTATTTTGTGAGATTAAAAGTATTAATGCAATTCGAAATAATTGAATCACAACTGTACCTCACGTCTGTATTTTCATAATTATCGTCATCGCTATCACTGTCAGAGGAGTCAGAGTTAATAAAGTTTTTATACAGTTCTTTATTCTGATTGCTTTTAAATCCACTGCTACTGATATTCTCCAGCTGTTCGGCCTCGCCATTCTCAAGTGGTACAGCAGAACAACTGCTACTACACTCATTGTCATTGACACTTTTACTGCTATCAGCAGTTTCAACATTATTTGTTTCTCCATTAACTTCAGCTTCGCTGGGAACAGAAGCTGAGTTTGTGACTTTACTAGGTGATACCCTTTCGTTGGCATCTTCAGAACTATCTGGCATTTCTGAAACTTTTGCTTTTACTGGTTTCGAGTCTGCTGATGAATCGACTTGAGATGCGGAAGCAGTATCACCATTGCTTGTGGTTGAATCAAGTTCCTGATCAGCTTCACTACTGTTGGGGGCTTCAATTTTATTTTGAGAGCCAGATGATGACGCTAATTCACATTGTTGGCTAGAACTGCTGACATTTGAATCGTTATTTTCCGATCGTCTGCTGGAGCCATCACTAGAAGAAGAACCAACTCCAGATGAAGAAGAAGATCCAGTTCCAGAGGATGAACAAGCATTTGAGGAACCAGCTACACATGATTTTTTACTTGAGGATCCAGTGATGCCTGAAGAACTGGCTCCAGATGAAGATGCTTCTCCAGTGTCTTTGTTATCTCGTAAATAAGCCAAATGTGGCGATTTCTTAATTATATGGTCTTCGATTTCTGTTTTGTATTTGGATAAGACTTCTTCAATTGGCATACTTGCTTCCATACGTAATCTAGCAACATTATCTTCTTCATTTTCTGAAAAGAAAAAACATAAATACATTTATAACACAAATACAAGCAAACACGTTTATGAAAAAATTGAGATGATTCTTTTTTTAATACATTGAAAATAATAAGATTAAAATATTACCAGAATCATTCTGGTCATCTTTAGCAAATGCTTTTAAAACTTTGATTACTTCTGGTGTTGTCAAGGAAGCATCAAAATCCAAAAAGGTATCGATCAAGGCTTGCTTGATATCACCTCTCTTGTATGCATCTGTATTCTTTAAAAATTGTGGTAACTGTTGCGAGCAGTATGTAGAAACTTCGTCTCCACCATGACCATCGTAAACAGCAAACAACGACGTTTCTTCATCAAAGTCTATGCAGCAATTGTGAGCATCCTAAAAAAAATATGCTTATAAATCCATTTGCACACATAATGAAGTGCAATTAACAAAGTGGGCATGTGATAATTTCACGGCAGTTATTGATTATTTGTCCAAGTGTAGAACATATCCCTGTTACTTAATGTTAAATAGATACTAATTTCAACAATGCACACTGCAAAAGTGTCATTATTATCAACAATATTATAACTCAACTTTTAGCTCTGCACTCAATGATGAATTATATTGAATGAATTTTGCGAATCACGATAAATGCAGGTATTTGTAATGATAACATGAAAAAGTGCAACAGTGAGTGGTTGGAAAATCCCAGCAGGAGCTGCACCCACGCTTTTACAGCATCTTCATTGAAAAGCCAAGAGACGTTGGTTTTGGAGAAAAGAAAAAAAAAAAAAAAAAAAAAAAACAAGATATACGAAATAATTTCTGAAGCCAAGGTTTACTGACTGAGGTGTCGTAGTCGTTAGCTCAAAGGTACTTTTGAGCACCTAGTGCATCCCTAGTGCCACCCTAAAAAGGAGCACAGCCGCTCCGAAAAAGAGAGGTTAAGTTTATCCGGCATGCCCAAAATTGGAATCCCTCCAAAAGTGCAAGTCGTAGCAAAGCGCATCCCGGCCAACCTGAGCACGAGAAGAACCAAAAGAAGGGTGCCGTGGGTCGGCGTACGATGGGCCAGGAAGGAGAAACGAGAAAAAGAGCAGAAGCGAGTGTGTGCGAGAGATTCCTTACCTCCTGGCTCATGCGCCAGCCCTGCATGGAGCTCGCCCCGTAGGCGACGCGATTACCTTCCTCATCGCTGGACACTTTTTCGACGGAAGGCGTGGACAGGTAGACCCCCATCGTTATTTCCTCGCTGTGAGAGCTTTGTGGCTCACAGCTCTTTACGTTAAGAGCAGCGGAACCGTGACCCGTGACACAACTATATTCTATTCGACCGCACCGGCTGGGTTATGCACTGCACTGCACTGTGCGTGTGCAATTCCTCGGCGGAGTACGCTACGACGCGCGCGCGCGCTCTTTTTTTTTTTTTTTTTTTAAGTAAGTAGGTATTAACCTAAGAAATGTAAGAACTGCATGAATTTACTTGCGGAAGGCACGACAGCGAGTTACTGGACCGCGGTGGCGCGATGCGTGATGAGAACAATAACAATCTGAAATGTGCATTTTAGAAGTAGGTAAATTAAGTTTATATTATCGATGACAATGAAACGATTGTTTAGGTTGATTTGACCAACGTAATGATTTCCGATGAAATACAATGGTTGTTTTTGAACAATGAGAAACTTTATGAGAAGCTGCTCGAGCAAGATGTTACAAATACTTACTAGCTCCGTTGGTGATGGGTAAAGAAATTGTCATCGTAGATATAAGTATAAGTAGATATCTTTATTGAATTTTTTAAGTATATCGTTTGAAGTTTCGATTCAACAGATTTGGCGATAATTAGTCGCTATAGGTTTTGATTTTAGTTTTGGGAATGTTTGCAAAAGAGCATTTCATAGTTCCAGTGGGTGCATTGCATGTTTGCGAAATTCATAACTTTTTGCATTTAATTAATTATACGCACGTAAAGTGATCAATATAAGTAAATGTGAGTAAGCATCTCTAAAGTTTTTTTCCAGAATTCGAAAAGTACTACGTTTGCAAGTTAATTAGTTGTAATGATTTATAACGTAATTACAGTCATTAGTAACGTTATGTGGTTACTGTAGCAACATTCAAACCTCGCGGTTTTATGATCACGTGACCACGTCATCGCGCTTGCGCAGTGCGTGACGATAGATGATAGGCGCCTAAATTTAAATGAAAAGAATGAAAAATAAAAAAAATTGTGTTTATACTTTATTAGTTAAAAAAGAAAAGTTACACAAACTTTAATATTGTATAATACTCATTTAAATTAATTTATACATATAAAATGACAAAATTTTTTAAGAACATCGATACAAAATAAGAGTTTAAGATGTATTAAAAACAGTTTTTTTATCTTATCATGTTAGTCTTGCTACTATGATAGTATTATCGTTAGCAGCTAGTCACGAAGAGAAGGTAGTCCTGGACTCATAGTATTATGCTGCAGAATCTCATAATTATTCAATTTAATCACTTTGATAATAAATTACCAAGATATTATACATTTCATCGCTACATAACGTTACAAAACAAGTCAAATTCTGAAGAAGAAAAAACGCTATGAGCTCACCCATACAACACGTACAGCTTATCTCCACCATCAAATACATCATCGAATATTTCCACCATCACGAGAACCTTTATCCGTAAATTTAAGCCACGAGTTCCGTAAAAGCTTCTTTTTTTATCCTCGTTCGTACATAAAAGCGGCCTTAGCTCATGGATCGTTCCATACATATATCCATTAAGCACTAGTTTTTACCTTTTTTTTTTTTTTTTTTTTTTGCATCTTCTCGCGTGCTCCCGAGTAAAAGCGTTTTTTTTTTTTTTAATTCTCCACTTCCATTGGCAACAACGTGTAGCACGATAGAAGGGGTAGTTTTTTTTTCCCCACCGACGTGTATAAAGTACATGCCGGACTTTGCGTGCACGACGCGAGTTTGTCTGGATTCTTCATTTTGCGCTGAATCGCTTCATGGACGCGAAGTTTTTTTTTTTTTTTTTATTTCCGATCGGGTGTGTAGATAGAGTGTACCGTTTTCTCTCTTTCTTCCTCTGGTGGTGGTTGATTAATTGAAAGTTTTCCGTCTCCTGGACACTGTTTACCTTCTTTTATTTCCTCGTTTTTTCCCTCCCAAGTTCTTCGTTGGAGATTGATTTTCTTTGATGTGCTTGAAAATACATATAAATTGAATGTTTACCGGTTTATCTTCAATATTCTTGGGTGGACTGTGGGGGTAGTAATTGGGTTACGCATATCGTACAATAACTAGAAAATTACCTTGCAGCTCCACTTTCAAAAAAAAAAAAAAAAAATTTTTAGAATCAATAGTATATTTACTACAACAGTTCCAAGTAAACAATCTTTTGAAACAATATTTATATTTTTTTGTATCGAGAGTATTTTCTTGCATGGGACGAATATTTTCTCAAAGTAAGAAAATAGTAAACAACAATATTTTCTTGAATCTTAGATGTTTATTTTCAGAGTTGAATCGCAAAACCCTTTTTTACTTGTAACGAAATGTGTTGCATAGATATGTATGTAAAGGTATATCTCATTTTTATTTATAAAGTCTGAAAAAAAATCTTGTTTATAAATAAAAAAATTACACTTTTTTCGGACAAGATGGATATGTACCTCCTCAAAAAAATTCAAAACGCCCACTCTTGTACGTAGAACTAAAACTGCGCTCTCCGAATTAAAAATTTCTCATGCATGACCCTCTAAAAAATGACTATTCAGCACAAAAGACATAAAAGCGTAAAACAGATGGAAGCTTAAAACTGCGCGCATAACAATAAAAGTTTCGCCCGCCCAGCATGGAATTTCAAATGTCGTTATTTTACCGAATGTGATTCGAAAGTTGGGAAGGACTCGTTGAATAAATGTTCCCGAGTTTGAAAAGACATTTTACGCACTGGAAATTTTCACACGCACAATAACAGCGTGGCTGAGATGAAATTTTCGTAAAACGCACCATGAAGTTCGTAGGTCGATTTAACTTATTTTTGTTGCACTTTGCATATACGCATTATGGGAGTGCACGCAGCAGCGCTACATTTTCACGCCTTCGGATGGTACGGGGCGCCATAAATAAGTATAATAAGTACACCACTGCGTAATCTTAAAATATTTTTTTTCGAGGAGTCGCGTTAGGGAATACAGAGATATTAGACATTACCTTTAGTCCTCCGAGATCGATTTTAATACCGCCACTGGAACTTTGGTTTTTCCGTTGAATTTCATTACCAAAAGGAAATCCCAGTTTTTATTCATCATTTTTATGACTAATACATTATTTAAAACCAACAGTAAAAGTCATATGTACCGCCAACCGTGTAAGAATACCGATTTTCACTACATAAAATTGACATGGTATTTCCAACACGGAGGCGCGTGGACGTTGATAAAAAACAAAATTCAACCTCTGCTATAAAAAGTCCAAGAAGACCAATCGAACTTTTCTCCCCCTAGCAAATGAAAAAAAAAAAAAAAAAAAAAAAAAAAAAAAAACCGAGAGACTCACTTTCTCATGCACATAAAAGAAAACACGGCAGCACCAGCGGGGCATCGGCTGAAATAGTTATTAACTTGCATGAATAGAAATAGAAATACGAAAGAGAAAAAAAAAAAAAGGGAGAAGCGCAGCGGGCAATCTAAAGGGTGAAGAGCTAACGGAGGAAAAAAGAGAGCGCCGACCTACACCCTGATGGTCGTATACACGGAACATTCCGTCGAAATTTGCAGTATCACGTGCAGTGATTCAATATCGTATACGTAACAGTTAAACTACATGTGCACAAGCAAATCAAAAGCACATGTAAATGTTTACTCCACTACTACTTGGTTTATACATCACAGTGGAACTGAAGCGCCATTCTGTCAATGATTTTTCTTGTTTCTAATTATTGTACTGACGACATATAGATAGATAACGTTAAAAAGTTTTGAAACATAAACTTTGACCAATAGTTTGATGTCAATCGCAATTACAAGTTTCACTGGACTGCCAACTCGGAGTTTTCCTCTCTCAAGTAGTAATATCCGCGTATGGTCAGACACACCTGTAAAGTACTTATACGCACACATGCGAACAGTGGTGCTGCAACAGAGAGAAGACACCTCACCTTTGGTCGAGTATTAAAGCGTACGTGTGTAAAATAAGGAGTATCGAAGGGAAGGGGTGGCGGTGTGCTGTGATACTGTTATATTCCGCGTACATGTATAAATCCACAAAAGGTTTTTTTTAAGTGATTATTTTAAAACTTTTCCAAAGCTCACGATAAAACCAATTTCTCGTGAATCTCTTGTTCATCCATTTTTTGCTTGTACCTTCGAGCCTTTTTTTTTTTTAAATCATCCGAATAAACAGGGGTTGTCGATAATCTTAAAAATGTAAATAAAAATTTTTTTGCAATATCTTTGTTTTTTCTTACTTGGCGCTCTATACATTAAAAAAACTTTTTATTTTTCACAGATTTTCTCATTCTGCACTCCGTGTACACGTGTGTATATACATGTATACCTATATAGTGAGAAAATAGGAGTATCAACTGGCCCGCCACGGTGGTGTGCTTATCGATTCGGTGGTGGCGGCGGTGGCCCTCGACATTCCATCTAGCTTCCTCGCTCTTATGTATAATATTATACTTTCCCCTCACCCCCCCCCCCCAACCAAATGTCTACCTTTTGAGTGTATTACCATCACTCTGTTGCTTTTTGGGTTAAATTTGCCAGGTTACATGTAAATTGGAGAAATTTTTTTTTCTGGTTTTTCGAGAGCTCGAAGAGAATTTTTTTACTATTTACAATGTAAGCACCATTCGCGTGTAGTTTTAATAAAATCTTGAAAAATGTGTTTGATCGCAGAAGTAAAGTAGATTCGTGTCTCTCGGTTCCTTTTTCGGTAAAAACATCGCGCTGCGGAAGTAATTTGGATTTCAAAAGTTAGACTTACAAAGTGTAGGAAATACGGTACAGGTATGCACCACTGTATTTTCACGAAATTACATTTACGTCACATTAACTTTGACTTTGATTAATTTCGTTTGTTTTCTCGGAGAAAATTTTAGCAATTCGAGGCTCTTGCAGCGTAAGCAACGTGTTTATTAGCACAACAACTACAAAGTAATTATAATAATGCCGAACTTTGACTCTTGGCAAAAGTAATATCGCGGCAGTAGCGAAAGTTTATCCTCAAAGGGAGAAATCTCGAAAGTAACATTCACCGGTGGCACGAGAGGTGTATTTTCAAAGAGAATACGAAATCTCCCCAGT